ATCTATCTATCTATCTATCTATCTATCTATCTATCTATCTATCTATCTATCTATCTATCTATCTATCTATCCTCTCTCTGTTACAGTAGATACTCGTCTTCAAGCTCAACATCCACACTTTCTTATCACATTGCACCTAAACCTGCATGAATTAGGACCTGGCCTGTTCCTGTCAGAGCTAACTGGCCAATAACACTCCTGTCAGAGTTCTGTAAAGATCCAAGTTGGGGGTTGGGGGGGTTGTCGCTTGTTTTTTGTTGTTTTATTTTGTTTTGTTTCTATGTGTTCCTTTCTGTTGTATTAGGTTGTAATATACCTTTTTACCTTTATCGGACTAATTTACCTGTTTCTCTTTAATTACTCACGTTAGCATAGTATGTTATAACTTAATCCATGTAAATGACTGATTTATAATGATACTTTTGGGTTAAACTCTCTCTGTTACAGTAGATACTCGTCTTCAAGCTCAACATCCACATTTTCTTATCACATTCCACCTAAACCTGCATGAATTAGGACCTGGCCTGTTCCTGTCAGAGCTAACTGGCCAATAATGACTTTCCCAGAGGAAAACTGTCCATCACCCCCAGAAATCCAGGCTCTTCCAGACTGAGATCCTGGAGGGATTAAAGGTTTTTATTGGGAAAAGAGGCAACAAAATAAATGTATTTGTTGACCATTTCAAGCCCAATCCAAGAAAAAAATTTGGGAAAAAGAATTTTTGTTATTGTTATTTTGTTATAGTTTTTGTTATTTATTTGACCCTTCACAAAATATATGACAAAAATCAGAAATGATCTTTGAATATTCGTCATTTATTAAATTCTGCCAAGTTAAAATGATTGTGCATAATCTTCTGCATGCTCTTATCAGCTACACCTGATTGTTTAAAACAAGGTTTTGAACAAAGTTTTTACCATGAAATGATGCAAAAAAAACACATTATTATTGGGAATTAAATCAAAGTTAAGCAGCATTTAACACGTTTCTAACCCCCAAAAAACATTTTCTAAAATCATAAATCCCTCCAAAGTGGAATCAGAGAGATAAACTAAAACTAATCTGAGGCTTTTTAGAACATCCCACTCAAACTGCTTCAGACAGATATAAAAACATGGTTTATTTCTCCACGTTTGACCTTTGTTTTCTTGTTTAAACTCTTCCAAAATCCCTCTCTGACATTATTTAGTTTATGACCAAATGTTCCCAACAGAAGCCCGGTTCTGTGTCATATTGACTAGCTAAACGCCGCGATGTTTCCATTAAACCACAAATTTGCCTTAAAAAAAAGCTGTCAGCGTGAGGCTGAAATTACTGTGTGTTTCCACCGGTTTAATGGAGTTGTCAAACATAGTTTAACTCCTCCGTCTGGTGGGGAAACTTCACCCTGAGAGTAATTTAAGAGCCCACTACTGTCCAAGCGTGGATATAAACAGAGTAGAGGACCCTGACGGCTCCTTTTGTTATTTTTACTGAAAAAAAATCAAATAAAAACTTCCAAAAAGTCTTCGATTGTAAATTCTAATGTTAAATTGCCAGAAAAAAGCTTAAAAAAATGATTAAAAGTAAAATAATGTTAAATTGCCAGAAAAAAAGCTTACAAAAATCAAAATAAATAAAATAAAAACTTCCAAAAAGTCTTCGATTATAAATTCTAACGTAAAATTGCCAGAAAAAAATCTTTAAAAAATTCAAATAAATAAAATAGAAACTTCCAAAAAGTCTTCAATTGTAAATTCTACTGTTATTTTGCCAGAAAAAAAGCTTTAAAAAATGTTAAAATATAAAATAAAAACTTCCAAAAAGTCTTGTAATTAAAAATAAAACAAAATAATTAAAAATAAAAATAAAAAACTATTAAAAATAAAACAAAAAACTATTAAAAAAATTAATAATAATTTATCAATAATAATAAATAATATAAACAAAATAAAAGTGCTCTCGTAACTTCAAAATAAAAGCAAATCCACTCTATACTAACAAACACAATATAAAACAAACAACCTTGGAGCCTCCTTTTGTTAGTTTTACTGCAAAAAAATCCAATAAAAGCTTCCAAAAAGTCTTCAATCGTAAACTCTAACTTTAAATTGCCAGAAAAAAGCTTAACATTTTTTTTAGATAAAATAAAACTTCCAAAAAGTCTTCAATTGTAAATTCTAACGTTAAATTGCCAGAAAAAAAGCTTAAAAACATTTTTTAAAAATAAAATACAAAAACTTCCAAAAAGTCTTCAAACATAAAGTCCAATGTTAAATTGCCAGAAAAAAGCTTTTAAAATTTTTAAAAAATAAAATTAAAACTTCCAAAAAGTCTTAAATTGTAAATTCTAACGTTAAATTGCCAGAAAAAAATCTTCTGAAAGGAGTGGAGAGTGAAGACAGCCTGTAATCTAAAGATAATATTGTGTTTTTGTGAGTTTTTTGTTCTAACAGTCATTTTTCTTCATAAAAGCAGCAGAAACTGACCCCGAGTGCGTTTGTTCAGGCCAGAAAACATCATTAAAGTCGCTCCAGAACAAAGTGATGGATGTAATTCCTAAAACAACACGGACTCCACAGAGTAAAGATTATTTTAGCCTGTGCTAGCAGCAGAAAAAGGGAAAAAGGGATTCCCCCTGAGCTGGTTCCAGTCCATCAAACACTGTAGAGGCTCCTTCTGACTCCAACATTAAGTTTTATTTCACCCAGTTTTTGATCTTTTTTATATTGACTTCCTTTTTTTTTATTTTACGGCCACTTTCTCCCTAAAGAAATAGCCAGAAATTCCCAGTTCTGACTGGATAAAGGACAAAGGAGTTCCAAAAATTAGATACAATTCTATTTAATGATATAAAACAATGGTAACAAAAGGTCATACTTCCATACAATACAACTAAGATTATAAATAACCCAACTGAGGTCAACCAAACACAAACCAAAATGACAATAAAACACAAAACCTAACAAAATAGAAGCAAAAATCATATTTAACTTAATTCAAATAATATATTAAAATGACAAAATA